TAAGGCCTGTCCAGATTCTTATCATCCCATAGTCATACATGCACGTTCGTGTTTGCGTTGTCATCCCCTCTTTGATGACACAAAAATCCTGGGGGGGGCATGACAGCAGATTCGGCAGAGAAATCATAGAATCATTCGTTATGACCACAGCAAAAAACAACGTGTCAAACCCTTCCCTCCTGCTGACGAAAACTGAGGTTGAATTTTTAAAATCCAAGATAACCCTACCACCCTGACTTGCACTTCGCGTTTCTTATCTTTCCTTCTCTCCCCCTTCTCTCCCCTACTCCTACTGGGTATAGTCGGCTGCTCGCTTTTGAAAGTTTACTCGTCTGTTGCTAGTTGAAAGATGTGGTTGTGTTGTCTCTGTTTTAATTGTTTTATTCTTTCTTTATCCATGACTTATACCAACACGCTCTTCTCCCGAGCATAAGTATTCACATGTGTTGGCTGATGCAGAGGCAGCTGTTGTGCTTGCGGAAAGCAATGTTTACCTCTATGTTGCAATGTGCTAAGACAGGCTTTTTTGTAGACGTATAAAGTGAGCGCTGGCGTGGCTTCACGAGACGCACACCTGGCGGAGGGAGAGAGGAAAGGGGAGAGGAGAGGCAATTGTTGTGCTTGCGAAAAACAACGTTTACTTCTATTGTTGCAATAAGCTAGGATGCTATTTTTACTAGGCGTATAAAGTGAGCGCTGCGTGCCCCCTCCATGACGTCACGGTAGCTAGTCCAGCGCGCTGAAAAGCGACCGGGCTAGTTCGGCTTGACCAACACCACCTCCCGATTACGTCAAAACACCAGACCCTTAATCTTGTGTGCGTATGTAGACCTTTAGCGTGCTATATTGCCGAGCGCGCAGCTGACCAAGCAGACAGCGTGCTCGTGGCCTAACGGTTATTGCGCTTACCTTGCACGCAAAAAGCCGAGGTTCGATTCCTGGTGTGGGTACGCATTGTTGTTGACTCTGTAATGTTATGTTCTGGTGAATTCGAGAACCGTGTTGGCTGATTCGAGGTTCGAGGTTAGAGTGTTCTACGCGACCAAAAACGACGCTCCTGCAACGATAAAGAATATCCTAAACGTCGTTATCGACAGCCACAACGGTTCGGCTCTCGTCGATACCGGAGCAGACTACTCCATCCTGAAGGGGAGGCTGTCCGAATGTTTTCGGAAAGTGACGACGCCGTGGGATGGCCCACAGATACGAACCGCCAGGGTATATCTTATCACACCAGTAGGAAGATGCACTGCTCGCGTAAAGATTCACGGCGAGACGTGTCGGGTAAAGTTCGTCGTTCTACGACGCTGTCCCGAGGATCAGAAAACTACGGCAGCCACGTCAGCTTCAGTGCGTGTACTCTCCGACCACGTAAACTTGCCACCACGCTCGAGTGTACTTGTGCCTGTCGGGATCGAAAAAGGCATCGGCGGAGAAGCTCTGCTGGAAGGTAGCGTCCAACAGCTCCCTAGAAAGAAAGATCGGCGTTGCAAGAGGCACTAAACAACGTGACATGATATGACAATGTCACGCCATGGCGTCAGCTCACGCCAGGTAATGCGTGACGTGATGCACGGCGGGACGTCAGAGTCGTTTCCAGCGGCATGACGCAAAAGTGGAATATTTTGGCGGAGTGCCGAAAATGGCCCGCGTCGATATCAAGCGCGGTTGACGGAGCGAAACCTGCGATGTAACCAATCGCTGTAAAAAAAAAAAAAAAAAAAAAAGAAAGGATGTTGCGTGCTTGGTTGATTTAGCGAGCATTTTCATCATTGTCACTGTTGCTCGGTGGTAGAGACTCTCTGCTGACTCTCGAAGCATGGCCTAGGTGCTTCGACGTAGCTGACGCCATAACAAGAAACGCGCAGGCTTTAGTTTCCAGAAGGTGGCGAAAAAGCCTGACTGCTGAATTTTCGGCATCGCCTGCACGCAGAAAGAAAAAAGGTGAATTCTTACACCCCTTGTCCCATATAATACACCCCAAAACTTTAGTTCGACGTACAGCGCACTGACCTTGAACCGACAGTACCAACTTTTAGGAGCGACTTGATAGCCGAGTTGTACAACTTATTAAAATAGCTAATGTATACGTCTGACTGACTGCAAACGAAGTGACCGGGGTATTCCTAGTGTTACTGCAAAACCTCCGGTGGGATTTTTCTCCGTAGCCTCTGATACGTACCTTATCTGATTAATATGCTATATTCCACCGTCATAAAGCCTCTCGTAAAAGTGGAGCCCATCAGTTTGACGTCAGCGCGCTGTACGTCGAACTGAAGTGTTGGGGTGTCATATATGCGACAAGGGGTGGAATGGCAACGCTTGTTTTCAGAGGGCAAAGAAGGCCAACGCGGGGCATATATTGGGCGGAAGTGCTGCGGCAGCCTTCGGCTGGGACTTCTGTTCTCGCTGACTGAACGCGAGTCACGGCCGAACGCTGACTCAGCATTTGTGTTTAATCTGCGCCACGGGCTGGCCTCCAATAGGTGACGTCAAAACTTCAGTCTTTTAGCCTTACGACCTTGGAGGTGTTGGGAAGGACTGGATATAGAAAGGTCGGTACAGATTCACAAATGCCATCGTCACTTTCGTTGAAATGCACGTATGAAAGATGTGTTTCGACCTTGTTTCCGTCAGTATTGAACAACCTGCTATCGGGTTGGCAGCCCGGTATCAGTCAAGCTAGCAATGCAATAAAACCGTCCCGGTGTAAAGAGAAAACTGGCGAGGTTTATGGGATGAACCAGCCGCCAAAACATCGGAAGGCAACCCTGTGCGCATTGAGATCAGATGCAAGCCGCGATCAATCGCACATTACGCGAGTGTGGAAACGCTGCTCCATATTAAAGATTTATCAAGTTTATAAAATGTAATATTTAGGGGTATTTACGCGCCAAACCAACGAAGGTCATCTTGCACGCCCCTGCGGAGAACTGAGGATTAATTTTGATCACCTGGGGATCTTTTTGTGTGCATGCGGGCGCCTCGAGCCGGGATTCGAGCCCGTCACCTGGAGATCCGTAGGCCGGCGCTTTGCCTCGGAGCCACCGAGGCGGCTATTAACAACTTGTATATAACACATTGGTTATAGGAAAAAGGTCAAGTAACGAGCATCCCATTCCCGTGCATACTATGGGCCGCACTTCGTTTGAGACCGTTTTTTTTTTTTTTCCCCCTTTTGTAATTTGGTGCAAAGCATCAGGACAGACACCGCCTTGGCCCACTTAATTCGAAGCACAGGCTGTACAATACTTTCTTATACGCGTCTTTGCTTACTTTATATTGTTCCTTTATCGCCTATGCCGCGAAATACGTACACTGACATATCTTAACGAGTGCATACGCTTTCATTTCGTTAGATTGCTCATAGCTATATTTCCCAGAGATAGGTGTCAAAACGTGTCTATTTCTTACCGCACTATATTTGTTCACTGAAGAGGGACCGCGCGGTCCTCTTTTGAGTTTCTGTGGTCCTTCGTATATATACATACATATATATATATGTATGTATATACGAAGGACCACAGAAACTCAAAAGAGGACCGCGCGGTCCCTCTTCAGTGAACAAATATAGTGCGATAACAAATAGACACATAAAAAAAAAAAAATATATATATATATATATATATATATATTAATTTAGTCATACTTTTAAGGTTGAAGCATTACAGAGAGTCCACAGATTTGGGAATACGAACATAAAAGTTGTAACGCAGGCTCAACACAAGAATAATTATCTAGTGAATTAAAATCCCTGACTTGCTATACTTCGAAGGGGGAGGGTGGATTAAATCACAAATGATTTTGGAGATGAAGAAACTGCAGAAAGAGGAAGTGCTACATGAGGGTATGCGAACTTTGCAGTTATAGTCAGGTGTGAAGATGATGATGGGGTCATTAATTAGTTGAGAATTTAGATTGGAATTACTGTAATACATTTTATGAAGTAGATAGACAAGAGATCATACCCCGGATAGATGAAATGAGAGATTACATGTCATTGACGTGACATTGTCATTTGATTGACATAGCTATCATCGTACGTTAAGTACGCCGTGCTGACCAGTTTTCAACGGCTTAATATATAATATAGAAATTTCTGCACCAGGATGCGGGACTAGGCATGGATAATCGAGTTTACTTCGTAGTAAACTTTTGTAACGTAATAATTAAAAAAAAAGTTGGTGTCGCGCTAGATGTTGCTGTTATTTTTTCTTTTTTAACTTTGCTCTTTACAAGTGCTGTCCCCCCGAACACATCATTGTCCCCTTTAAAGGCAAAGGGACAACTTTCGCCTTTTTTTTTCTATCTTTTTTTTTTAAGTGGGAGCAGTTTTAAAATGTAATTGCCATATTAGAAACGCCTGCCTCCGAGATTTCCATGTTCTGGATCACAGGATAAAGACTGTCTTTAATCCCAGGAAGCAAACTGTCTCATTTCATAGGAAAAAGACTGATAAAAAAGAGTTCTACTCATCCAAGGCTATTATAGAAACTTATTTTTTTCTCAAGTAAGACATAATGCCAAAACGTTTCGATGCGCACACGTTTCGCGCGCCACCCTTCTCAGCACTTTCCTTAACATTTTGCTTCGTCCTTTCTCAATGAGTTTTGAGGCTTCCGGGGACGCCTCTTTTTTTTCTCTTTTTTTATACCTAAGAGTAAATTATAATATACCTCTCTCGAGTGACGAGGGCCGTCTAGGAGTTTGTCTGCGAACTACAAATGAAGGGCAGCCAAGCAAGCCTCTGCCCGTCAGAACATGTCGGCATCGTTCCGATGTATCCGGTTTCATTGTTCTTTATGCACCGTACCACCGACGCTCAAAAAGAATCGTCGAAAAAGACGAAATACGCGCTAAGGCGACAATGTTGGTTGTGCGGAACGGTACCCCCCAAGAATGGTGACAACACGAAAAAGGGCCGGGCAAAAGGTTTACGCAGGCACAGAGGCTTGCTGGGAAAATTTTCATTTGTGGCGCCTGTTTGGTACCTTCCTTACTTTCTGAAGGCTTTCAAGTTTTCGGCCAGCGTCACTTCTTGGTCTGCTCCGCTCCGGTAGTAGCCTGCCGCTCCTGGATTTCGACTGTACAGGGCTTTGTATCCAAGGTTTACAATGTCGTCCATGTTCACTACCTCAACATCTTCCTGAAGGTAAGGCTTGGCGATTCCAGTGCCTTGGCATGCTGCGAGAAATTGTATTGAACAGTTCGTTAGATGCTTCTTTGCGCGAACCGAAATAAATGGGATTGTATTTAGAAACTCATAATCAAGTGATGGAAGTGGCGGTGTTTAGGTGTTTAATGGTGCAATATAAGCACCATTAAACACCTAAAATATAAAATTTAGGTGTATAATGTTGCTTATATAAAATTCAAAACTTAGTACCTACCTGGTTAAAACAAATGTTGTACTATTCCTTATTTTACTCTAAAATTAGTTATGGTATATTGATCTGGGGAACAACAACAGCTAGGAACTACAACAAAATAGTTATATTACAAAAGAGAATACTACGTATATGTGAAAACTATAGGGGTGATAAAAAAAACTTAAGCGCACAGTCACTTTTTGTAAAATACAATACGCTCAAGGCTGACCAGGTTTACTACTTTAAACTGTTACAATGGATACACAAAAACGAACTGCACACCACCCCAACAAACAGCGTGAGCGCATATACGCTTCGAGATCCAAAGATAAAAATGCCCACCATAAGAACAAATTACGGCCGAAAAACTTTAACTTTTCAAATAATTGAAATTCTTAACAATACAGAATGGAACATAGACTATAACACAACTTTCTATAAATTCAAAAGTAAATGCAGAACGCTTCTGGTTGGTGGTGCTATTACATTTTCATTGTGAAGTTTTCTTTTTCCATTTCTAGTTTCTGAACTCATCTTATTCGTGATCTCTATGTGCATGAATTTAGACCACTATTTTTTTTTGGTCAAAGTTTTATATTAGTGACCTACCTGAGTGTACATTTCTTTGTTGTTGTTTTATTTTATTTTGTCGTTTTTCTCTGCGTACAGCATGCATTACTTTGCTCATGTCCAACGTTAATATGTTCATAATGTGAGGAGTCACGCAAGCGGTTTTACTATTTCAACTGATTGCCTGCGTATATTCTAATCTTCACTCTGCTTTGTTGCCTTGTTTTGTTGTCATTGATGGTGCGCTTTGCCTGGCTTGTGCGATCCTGTGATTGCGGCTTCCAGAGTGCATGTGTATTCTTTGCTTAGTTGCAGTGTTGTTGCATGTGACACCCTTATCTTCTTTGCCACGGCTGAACTGTTGGGGGGTAGAGGCTCCGTCAGGTACTTGTGCCTTTATCTCTGCCCCCAGGCGGAAAATATCCGCAAAACAAATAAAGAAAAAAAAAAAAACAGCAACAAGGGTCATACCCCCTACAAAAATGATGTTTGACTTTTTTATTTGAAAACGTGTTGACTTCTTGTGAACTCTGGACACAGAGCGGGCGTCTGCTTTCGGCAGGCAACATTGGGGCATATCCTTTTCACTCCTCTCCCCCTCAGACGCCGCCATTAAATTTCAAACGCTCTCCAGGAATTAAGTTGCGCCCACCATAACTAGAGCCTTTCTACTTCTCGGCACCGACGGCACAGCGCCCCGTGGAGAAATAATGCAACCTGCCTCTGCTGCGTTGCGCGAGAACAGCGCCGCAGAGGCTGGTTGCACTATTTTTCCACGGGGCGCGGTGGCGTCGAGACCGAGCTGCGCTCTGATTGCAAACCGAAACTTAAAAACCCGTCTAAGTTGTGCTGTTTTTCAGAAATCTGTGAAATGCAGCGCGTGCCTTCTATCGCACTCCAATTTTTTTTTCATTTAGTGCTTTTCGATGGTGCTCAGCAAGTTTCCAAATAAAACTATGCCCTGAAACTCAATATTATAAGATATTTACCACTTTAATTATCCCGAACTTCAATAATTTTCCTAAATAGGCCCATGACCTAGGACCAAAACGATACAAACCTTTTTGGTGCGATGCGATGTTTTCGCAACATCGAATTTCTCCACCTTTCGTGAAACACCCTGTGTTTATATATATATATATATATATATATATATATATATATATATATATATATATATGCGGTTTCATTTGGATTCAGGCAACGAGTGTCAGTCGTATTTTTATTTTGCTTCAAATTTTTATATTTCGTGGCGCATGTTCCAAGAATAGCAATCCTTTTTATTTTAATGTTCTGACATGTTTAGTTTCTGAGAAAAAAATCTCAAAGAAGCGGCAAAGAACGAAGAGGTTTTGACGATTGTCGTGTGTGGCGTTTTTGAATCACTCTCAATCTCAAAGTATTCAAAAGAGAGCGTCTATATTTTTTAGTGTGATATATATGCAAGTAGCTAAATCGACATTATAACTACTGTTTATTACTCGTCGCTCCAATCAGAACCCAACTAGAATCGGAGCACCGAAAATACTTAGACAAGATGCTACAGGAAGAATGCCGAGCACCTGGCGTTTTCATTGAGGATATTAACCACTTGAAAGTCAAACTCGAACGTCTCGATCGCGACGGATACAGGGGGCGGCAATGCGGGCTCGTTCAGAGCGTTTCTTTGTGGAAGAGCAGCCGACAAAAAGAATGGTGGCGGCGGAAAAGAAATACGCGCGAGCTAATGATGTAGTTGAAATATAACACCTGGGGGTTTTGTCTAGCGATAAAACTCATGTCGAAGAGGCGTTTGTTCAACACTATAAAAAGTTGATTAGTTGTAGCACCCCACCACTGTCAGGATTTAAAGACGGCTTTCTGCCTCTACTGCTGAAGGTTGACAGAAACGATAAGGACTTTTTAGAGGAACCAATCAGCTTGTCGGAGGTAACAAAAGTGATAGATGATTTAAAACCAGGAAAATCGTCTGGCCCAGATGGCTTAATTGCTGGTTTTTACAAAACATTTAGACAAGAAATTTCATCCGTGTTACTCGAAGTTTTCACCAAGGCATATGGAAGAAAAGTTCTCCCCCCCCCCCCCTCTTTTTCACGCGCACACACAGTGTTAATCCCAAAATGTGACGACCCCGTTAAGCTTCGCAGTGTTAACTCCTACCGTACAGTAAGCCTTACTAATGTTGACTATAAAATATTTACGAAAGTCCTCGCTCGCCGTTTGCAGCGTGTGATAACGAGTGTTGTTGGGCCTCCCTCATCAGACATGCGGCATACAGGGTCGGACTATTTGGACCAACATTTATGTTGCGCGCAGTATCTTCGAGTGTTGTGACGGTGAGCTGCGCAAAGTCGCCATATTACAAGTTGACTTGGAAAAGGCCTTCGACCGGGTGTCTCATGACGTTTTAGGCAAAATTTTGAAGCATATCGTAATAGGATCTGTTATTTTTGAAGGTGAGCAAATGGCATGTTAAAATTGTACAACGAGTCTTATTGTAAATAAGGGAGTCAGTAAACGAGTTCCTGTAAAATCTTCAGTTGGACCAGGCTGTCCGCTCTCGCGATTAGTGTTTGCATTGTATATTGAACCATACTGCTTGAGTATCGTTTAGAGTGAGCATGTTCGCAATTTTACCTTGAATGCGCGCGAGGTTCGGATTTTGGCTTATGCGGACGACAATGCTATTTTTTGCACAGATAGCGAGAGTATTAAAAAAGCCATCGAAATCACAAAAACATTTTGTTCTCGGACCGGATGTTCCGTAAACTGGTCGAAATGTTCGGGTTTTTGGCACGGCCGATGGGCATCGAAGCCAAACTTTCTCGCTCACATTGCCTGGACAACCCTTCCCACCCGTTATTTTGGCGTACCATTGGAATACTATCGTGACAGCGCAGGTCTGTGGAGTGAAGATACAGATAAGCTGCGCGAGAAAGCGGCCCCCAGTGCAGGCCGCCATTTGTCTATTTTCGCGAGACTACAGTGTGTAATTCATTTTTTTGTCGCTAAGCTGTGATATTTTCTACAGGTCTTGCATTGTTCTCGATTTCACATTCAGAAGCTGCATCGTGTGTTCGCTGTATATGTGTGGGCGTCCAGCTGGGAGGGCGTCAGCCGAATTAATTTGTTTCGGCGCGTACGGCATGGCGGTCTTTCTTTATCACACCTTTTCATACGCCAAGTTGTTAACCGTTTTCTTTTCCTGCGAAATCAAGAAGATCCCTTTCTGCGTACTGTTCATAAGGTTCAATTGTCGGGTGTTTTACCCAATTTCATCGTTTCATCCAGTGACGGTGCTACGGGATTACTGAGTGCTTATTTGAAGGAAGTTGTCGGTGCATACAAATTTTTAACCGCGCGTTTCTCTTTGGCATATCTGAGTAGTGTCTCTCGAAAGCGACTTACAAGAAATCTAATAGAAACATCATTTCCAACCCCTTTGTATCGAGCTATTTACAGCGCGACTTCAAAACAGGATGTACTTCGTCGTGTTAAGAAAATGCTGGTCCCGGCCACAATGAAAATCTTTTTCTTTCAACTTCACAGCGGAACACTTCCGGTTGAAACATGGCTGGACTGAAAGGGCATATTTGTTCCCTGGACTGTGAACTGTATCTTGTGCAAAAGGCCCGAGTCGATAGAGACTGCTTTTTTAGATTGTTGGGACGCAGTGTTCTGCTGGGAAGTACTGCAGCGAACTCTAAAAAAATGAACTTCCTTTAAGCGCACACAGGATGCGTTTTCTGCCTGTTGCCCCAACCGACTCTGTACCGTATGATTTTCTTATGGTTATTGGCTTACACAGTATCTGGAAGAGCCGCATGGCAGTACGGCATGCTGATGTAGATGCTCGACCAGTATGTCACTATTTTACCCAGAGCATTAGTCAGATTAGAGAAGTGAATAAGGTTTTGGGAGATGGGCTTGATTGGTTGCCAGTCCTAAACGGACTGGTCACATTAAGATCATGTTAATCAGTGAGCGTCAGTCGCGAGTCAGCTGGAACCTTTTTACAAGTGCTTCTGAAGCTGTATTTTGCAAAGGACAAATTCCTGGCAATAAAAAAAAAGCAGCGCGCCCGTGGTTTAACGGTTATCGCGCTTGCCTTCCACGCAGAAGGCCAGGGTTCGACTCCTGGCCGCGGCTACGCACTTTTGTTGAAGCTTTATAGTGATGTTGTGGTAGATTCGAGAACCGTCTTGGGTTGATTCGTGGGTACAATCTTCTACGCACTGAACTTTC